TGTTTGGTGTGACGGGGATACGAACCCGCGACCCGCAAACTGCGAGTCGAACGCTCTAACCACCTGGCCATGCCGGGCCCGACTTATATATATCCGTTTACTATTAATTGGTCCACATGTTGCATTATACTGAGTAATTTTGTGTTTTGCCTGTCACAACATCAGTATAAGAAACTGAGAAAAATTGGATGAAAATCTTTATTTTTATATGTAAAATATATAGAGAAACCTCAGTAATGATTAGAGGGATTAATTACAGTGTTCATGCTATTGTTTTCCTTTGTTTTTTGTGTGTGACTCTTATACTATTAGAGATATTGTAATCCACAAAGCATTGACCCATAAGCAATTTCGTGCATAAATAGTTTACAGAAATTGTGCTTAAGCTACACGAGAGCTATCTGCTCTAGCCGTCCCTAATTTAGCAGTGAAAGACTAGAGAGAAGGCAGCTATTCATCACCATCCACCGCCAACTCTTGGGCTACTCTTTTATCAAAGAATAGCGGGATCGACTGTACATTATAACACCCTCACAGCTGAAAAGGTGAGCATGTTTGATGGAACGGGGATTCGAACTCGCGACCTGCAGGTTGCGAATCGAGTACCCTAACCATCTGGCCACGCCAGACTGTGCTTGAAATGTCGATAGAGCTAGTGGCCCAATTAGGTGATTCTAGGGTTAAAAGAGAAACACTACATTTTACGAATATCATTTAAGGATAATAAATGATTTAGATAATAGACATTGCCATAGGAAGTAATTTTGGAGTAGTCATTGCTCCATGTCATTGTCCTGCTGAAATATGAATTTTCGACCCAGTTTTAGATTCTTGACTGATTCAAGCAGGTTTTTCTCTAGGACTTGCCTGTACTTTATATTATCCATCTTCTCCTCAAACCTGAGAAGCTTACCAGTCCTTGCTGATGAGAAGCAGCCCTATAACATGATGCTGCTACCACCGTGCTTGACAGTTGGGATGGTGTTGACTGGTTGATGTGCTGTGTTGGGCTTGCGTCAGACATAATGCTTTGAATTTAGACCAAAAAATCTCGATTTTTGTCTCGTCTGACCACCAAAGCTTCTGCCATATGTATGCAGTATCAGTTATATGCTTTGTTGCAAACTCTATACGAGATTTACGGTTATTCTTTTTCAGTATTGGCCTTTTTCTTGTCACTCGCCCTATGCAGGCCAGTTTTGTATAGGGACTGGAATATTGTCGATGTATGAACACCAACTCCCACCTCAGACATGGAACTTTGCAAATCTTTCAAAGTCACTGTTGGCTTCATAGTGGCAGCCCTAATCAATTTCCTGCTTGTCTGGTTGCTTAGTTTGGATGGGCGGCCTGGTCTGGGTAATGACTCGGTGGTATGAAGCCAATTTCATTTCTTTTAATGATGGACTTCACCTTACTCAAAGGGATGATAGAGACTTTGAACTTTTCCATATTTTGTTGCTGTCTGAGCTTGCAATCATAAAACTTTAAAATGAGACTTTATATTTAGAATCTACACAATGTACTCCAAACTTAGAAAGCTAAAAAACGCTAATATTATGTAAGTAAGTTAGATTTCAAAGAACATTAGAATATCTGAATTGCATAAGTATTCAACTCCTTTGCAACGGCAAACCTAAATCAGTTCAGGTGCAAAAGATTAGTTTGAAAGTAGTTTAACTTGGCTTCAGAGTAAATGCATCTGTTCAAGCCACAACTTACATACGACAAATCAACCAGGAAGACCAATGAGCTTTTCAAACAAGTCAGGGATAAAGTGGTAGAAAAGCACAGATCAGGAGAATGTTACAAGAAATTTTCAAAGTCGCTGATTATCCCTTTGAGTACGATGACGTCCATCATTAAGAAGTGAAATGTTCTTCATACCACCCAGCTACTACCAAGATCAAGCTGTTCTTCTAAACTGAGCGGCTGAGCAAGCAGGAAACTGGTTAGGGTTGGCACTGTGAAGGGTGACAGATTTATTATTATACATTTATTTTAATATCAATGTTTGTTTAAATTAAATTTATATTTAGAAATGTACATAACTTATACTGTTAAATATGTATTTCGAAACTCCCGCCTATTCTCTAAAGTTGTAGAAGATTCTCGAGTGTAAGAATCAACAATATATGTGTGTACGTAAACGCTAGTGTTAGCATCAGTATTGTTACGTAAACTGAAGTTTTGGGAAACTCTCCACACGCCTATAAATATAACCAAAGCGCCGCGCCAAAAGCAGTATCTATTATTGGTGTGCTATAAACTTCGGAAGCTATAACTGTGATTATTATAACACTTATTAATCGGGAAACTTCAGATATTTGACCAGGAACATTTATAAAGTTAGAACATTACAAACCATTTAACTTCAGTGGACTCACATCGGACATTAGTACTTTTACGAAAACATTACTTACCTTCATCGATGGAAAAAAATTCGGCGTGTGATCAATGAAGACCACAGACCTAGCTAGCTCCCTATTAAGTGAATTGTACCTACGTCAACTCGAAATTAACTCACTCATCGTGAACCCTCGATGAGATATCAAGAAGTTCCAGATAAAAAGAAGACTTTATACTGTTTGTAAAACTTTTGTATATAAATCATTGTTTGTAATAACTATTTGTAGTAAACATTATTGTAAACTGTATTACTGGTTGTATATTAAAATGTATTAAAGAAGAAAACTGTGTGTATCAATCTTGTTGGCAAATATCATAAATTGGATATATATCGGCATTTATTTAACTACTAAATCTAAATTACAATGTAACTCAGTTTTAGGCTATTTGAAATTGTAATACGTAGCAGAAGCCAACAGTGACTTTGAAAGATTTGCAAAGATCCATGTCTGAGGTGGGAGCCAATGTTCATACATTGACAATATCCCAGTCCCTATACAAAACTGGCCTGCATGGGCGAGTGGCAAGAAAAAGGCCATTACTGAAAAAGAATCATCTTAAATCTCGTATGGAGTTTGCAACAAATCATGTAAATGATACTGCATACATATGGCAAAATGTTTTGTGGTCAGACGAGACAAAAATCGAGATTTTTGGTCTAAATTCAAAGCATTATGTCTGACGCAAGCCCAACACAGCACATCAACCAGTCAACACCATCCCAACTGTCAAGCACGGTGGTAGCAGCATCATGTTATAGGGCTGCTTCTCATCAGCAAGGACTGGTAAGCTTCTCAGGTTTGAGGGGCAGATGGATGATATAAAGTACAGGCAGGTCCAAGAGAAAAATCTGCTTGAGTTAGCCAAGAATCTAAAACTGGATCGAAAATTCATATTTCAGCAGGACAATGACATGGAGCAATGACTACTCCAAAATTACTTCCTACGGCAATGTTTATTATCTAAATCATTTATTATCCTTAAATGATATTCGTAAAATGTAGTGTTTCTCTTTTAACCCTAGAATCACCTAATTGGACCACTAGCTCTATCGACATTTCAAGCACAGTCTGGCATGGCCAGATGGTTAGGGTACTCGATTCGCAACCTGCAAGTCGCGAGTTCGAATCCCCATTCCATCAAACATGCTCACATTTTCAGCTGTGTGGGCGTTATAATGTACAGTCGATCCCACTATTCTTCGATAAAAGAATAGCCCAAGAGTACAGGCGAGTCCTATAGGAAAACCTGCTTGAGTCAGCCAAGAATCTAAAACTGGGTCGAAAATTCGAAATTTCAGCAGGACAATGACCCGAAGCACAAAGCCACACTGGAGTGGTTTCAAAAGAAAAAAGTGAATGTCCTGGAGTGGCCCAGTCAAATTCCTGACTTGAATCCAATGGAAAACTTATGGCGAGACTTGAGGATTGTAGCCCATCAATGATCCCGAATGAACTTGTCAGAATTGGAGTAATTTCGCTAGGAAGAATGAGTAAACATTACACCATCCCATTGTGCAAAGCTGACAGAGACCTATCCAAAAAGACTCACAGCAGTAATTGCTGCCAAAGGTGCTTCCACCAAGTACTGACTTAGGGGGTTGAATCCTTATGCAATCGACAAATTTCAATTTATATGTTTTTGTAGGTTTTCATGACATTCAATCTCCTTCACACATAACAGTGTTAAGTTTCATCATTGGAGTTTCAAATAAAAACAAGCTCATGAAAAAAAATTTTTACATTATTTGTATTTTATCAAAATGCAACATTATTGGTAAGGGTGAATACTTTTGCAAAGCACTGTATGTTGGAATAAGAATGGCCAGTCACGTAAATTTCTTGCAAACTAAAACATATTAGATTTAAACAGTCTGGAAGGGGATCTTAAAGAAAAAGTGCCTTAAAGAATCCAGTCA